AGTTATTTCTCTTTTATTTCCTCTGTCAGTTTATTGCTATATACCCATCAACTTGAAAAATGCCCACATGTAGGAATAACTGAATAAGGATTTGCTATAAATGAGTTCCACAGTCTTTTAAGTTCTAAGGAGGTAGTCCCTATCTTGCCCAAGAAAGGTTCTATTATTGGATGAATCTGTAAATAAAACAAAGGCAACAACATTTCATAACAATCACAATGCCATTTTGCTTGTTCACTCTGATGTTTGGAAAGGTCACCTCAACATCTTCCCAGAAGCAATACCCACTAGGATGATTACCTGTATCCCCTTTCTGGGAACCTTATAGTACTTTTTCATCAACTCCTGTTTCTTCTGAATAAAGAGACGATAACCTCCTGGTTTAGAAAATATTCCCTGCTTCACATCTTCTTCAAGAGGACTAAAAATGTCCTGAAGTAAAGTCTCACAACATTCTTTGGATGCTTTTGCATTCTGTTTATAGTAATCATCGCGCTTTGCTTGTAACTGGGCCTGTGAAGTGATAAAGTAACAAGATGACACAATAAGTAATGAGGAAGATGTTGACCCCACACAAACCATTTGGAAATGTTTCTCTGGCAAAGATTGTGGTATCAAAATAGGTCCAGATCCCTAACCTTGTCATGAGAAACAAGAAGAGCCCTAAGAAGTGTAATTAGAGTGAAAAATCTATCTACTGTCTGCGTGATTTCTTGAAGCTTCTTTACCCTTGCTTTCCTGCTCCAGACTGATTCTCAAACAGAGACGCTATTTCATATGAAATGTATGTCTTTTTCAAGTCTCTAATTTCAGTACTAATTCAGTGTATAAACACTGGAATCAGACAGGCTTGTATGAAACTACTGGATTAATTACTGTGATTTTGTGACAATCAACATTTGTGAATTAAGACTTTCCTGTCTGTACAACAGTGAGTCCTGGTGGGAATAACTGTGATATCTATCTCATATATTGTAAAGTATTAAGCCCAGTTCCTTTTCTATTAGTGTTCATTAAAGGCTAGCTATTCAATACATTCTTTAATAAGGGAATATATATGTGTGTGGAATTGTGGGTAATGCACTGGATGCAAGGTCCATTTGAATGGAAAGGCTGGTGGTTCAAACTCACCAGCTACCTATACAGGGTCTCTATTTGTCAGAACCGACTTGATGACACTGAACAACAACAATATAACTCTAATGAAGGTAATACTGATTGTACTTTATTTAGAGAGCCTGACAGAATAAAATCTTTATCAACATTAGATCACTCAAGATGACTTAAGTAACAAGCTTTTCCTTTCAGCTGTTGTTGTTGTTGTTAGGTGCCAGCTAGACAATACCAACTCATAATAACATTATGCACCACAGAACAAATACTGCCCAGTCCTGCACCAATGTCACAATAATCACTACACTTGAGCCCATTGCTGCTGCCACTCTGCCAATCCATATCATTGGGGATTCTTCTTGGATTTTGCTGAAACTCCACTTTACAAAGCATAATGTTCTTCTCCAGATAATGGTACCTCTTGATAATATGTCTGAAGTATGAGAGACAAAGTCTCACTATTCTGGTTTCTAAGGACTATTCTGGCTGTACATCTTTCAACACAGATCTGTTTGTTCTTTTGACAATTCCTGGTACTTTTAATATTCTCCTCCAACACCATAACCTAAATCCATCGATTCTTCTACAGTCTTTGTTAATCATTGTCCTACTTTCATATGCATATGACATTGAAAACACCATGGTTTGGGTAAGGCACATATTAGTCCTCAAACTGATATCTTTGCTCTTGAACACTTCAAAGAGTTCTTGTCCAACAGATTTGCCAATGCAATACATCATTTGATTTCTTGATTGCTGTTTCCATGAGTGCTAATTGTTGATCAGAGCAAAATGAAGTTTTTGACAGCTTCAAACTTTTCTCCATTTACTTTGATGTTATTTATTGGTCCAGTGGTGAAGATTTTTGTTTTGTGTACATTAAAGGGCACCTTAGGAAATTTCCTACCATCTCTTTCAACAGATGTAGTCAATTTGATTTTTGTGTAATCCGTTTGGTGAGATCCATGTGGTCTTTTTTCTTCATCAATCAGTATCTTAAGTCTCTTTGCTTTCAGCAAGCAAGGCTGTATTATTTGCATATCACAGTTTGTTAATGAATCTTCCTCCAATCCTTATGTCACATTTTTTTTTTTTTTTTCATATAATCCAGCTTCTCAGGTTATTTACTCAGCATTCATTGAATAAATATGGTGAAAAAGACAACCCTCACACACCTTTCCATTTTTCAAACCATTCAGTGTTCCCTTGTTCTTTTCAAATAACTGCCTTTTGGTCTATCTACAGGTTTCTCACAAGCAAAATTAAGTCTTCTGGAATAGTCATTTTCTACAGTGTTGTCCATAGCTTGTCATTATCCACACAATCAAAAGTCTTTGTGTAGTCAAGAAGGAACAGGTGAGCATCTTTCTAGTCTTTTCTTTCAGTCAAGATCCATCTTATGTCAGTAATGATATTCCTCATTCTGAGGGATATCACATCTGAATGTGATATCACATGTAATATGAGAGATATCACATCTGAATCTGGCATGAATCTTGGGTATTTCCCTGTCAACATATTGTTGCAACTGTTTTTGAGTTATCTTTAACAAAATTTTACTTGCATGCAATATTAATGATGTTATCAGATGATTTATATATTCCATTGGGCCATCTCTCATTGGAATGGGTACCAATATAGATCTCTTCCAGTCAGTTGGTCAGGTAGCTCTTTTCTAAATTTCTTGGCATAGATGAGTGAGTTCCTCCAGTGCTGCACCAATTTTTTGAAAGATTTCAATTGGTGTTTCATCAATTCCTGGAGCCTTGTTTATTGCCAATGACTTCAATGTACGTTGGACTTCTTCATTCAGTATATTGGCTTTAGGTTGTTTGCTGTCTCATGAAATGGTTGATCATAAATTCATTTGTTTTTGGTACAGTGACTGCATTTATTCCTTCTACATTCTTTTAATTCTTTCCATATTCTTTTGAGCTTTCTGCAGCAATCAATATTTTGTCCATAGAATCTTTCAAAATTTCAAGTTGAGGCTTGAATTACTTCTTCAATTTTTTCAGCTTGAGAAATGATGAGCATGTTCTTCCCTTTTGGAATTCTAACTCCAGGTCGTTGTACATGTCATTATAATATTTGACTGTTTCTTCTAGAGCTGTTCTTTGAAATTTTCTGTTCCATTCTTTTACTTCCTCATTTCTTCCATTTGCTTTATCATCTCTTTGCTGGAGAGCAAATTTCAAAATCTCTTTTGACATCGATTTTAGACTTTTCCTTCTTTCTTGTCTCCTTAGTGAATTTTAATTTTTCCTGTATGGAGTTCTAGAGGTCATTTCACAACTCTTCTGGTCTTCAGTCACTAGTATCTAATTCTTCAAATCTGTTCTTGAGCTGATCTCTAAATTCAGGTGGAATAGGTTCAAGGTCATATTTTGGCTCTCCTGGAATTATTTTCTTTTTTAGCTTCAGTCTGAACTTGCATATGAGTAATTTATGGTCTGTTACACGGTCAGCCCCTGGTCTTGTTTTGGCTGATGATGTGGAGCTTTTCCACAGTCTCTGTTCACAGGTGTAGTCAATTTGATTTCTGTGCATTCCATTTGGTGAGGTCCATGTATATTGTCATCTTTTATGTTGCTTAAAAATGTTATTTGCACTGAAGAAGCCATTGGTGTTGCAAAATTCTATCATGCAATCTCTCGCATCGTTTCTATTACTAAGGCCATATTTTCCAGCTACTGGTCTTTCCTCTTTGTGGCAAACCTTTGCTTTCCAATTGCTAGTAATGATCAATACATCTTGGTTGCATATTTTATCAATTTCAAACTGAAGAAGTTGGTGCAATTCTTCAGTTTCATCATCACTTTGCTTCATAAATTTGAATAATAGTTGTATTAACTGATACTATACTATCACAAACAGCATTGTACTTTAAAATATATCTTGAGCTTTGAGGGAGGTGGGGCTTGATGGCGGCTAGGATGGAGGTATAGTGAAGTTTGCTGTCAGAAATACCACAGAATACCAGGAAAAGCAGTCTAGGGCAGAGCTCCAAAATGCAGAACCATGTAGGTACAAGTATTTAAAAAGTTTGAAGGCTTATAGCTAGTGGAACTTGAAGTGGAACTGAGAAACAAAGTACTTTTGAATCTACTGGGCTCGGCAGCTGGTAGCCCACAACTTAGGCGAGATCAAATGGCAAGACCAAGTGGGGGAGCAGACACACCATGGAAAAATGATGCAGGAACCTCGGAGTAGAGGTGAATAGTACACATTGTCAGTTTTTCTTTGTTCTGATTTTCTGTTTTCTTTTGGTATTTGCTCATTGGTCACTGTCCCCCCCCTCACTGCTTGCGCACCTCCATTCTCGTGACTAGAGGGGTTGCCTGAGCAATTGGATACTCCCCACCCTCACCACTAGTAGGTTCTTCTTCCACGCATGTGCACAGATACTCTCAGCACAAGAGCTGGCCCTGAACTGTTTTTTTTTTTAAATACAGGAAAGGCCAGGACAGGGGTATAGAGAGGGAAAGAGAGTTTAAAAACAAAACAGGCCAAAAGTTAGATTAAATCCTGAGGTACACCAAAACAACCAACAGTGGCATCTTGAACTCTCTCAGGCATATTTGAAGACAAGAAGCTGAAGAGAGGACATTAAAGTCATACTTATATTAGGCTACAGTTTTTTTTTTTTTTCCTTTTCTTTTCTGCATTTATAGACTACAGTATTCAGTCTAATTTTTGTTGTTGTTGTTGTTTTGTTTATTCTTTTTGTTTGTTTGCTGGTGCTTTTTTGCTGTTTTATGCTCCCCCTTCTACATTTGGGGGACTCCTTCTCTCCCAATTTTAACAAAGAAGATACAGTGACTGTTGCCATATAGTCAAGCTATGATCACACTCTATAAAACACAAAACCCCAGAAAAGAACCAATACCAACTACCATATAGAGAGAGGCAGACAACACCTGTGAAAGTTAGTCTGAGTTAAACAATAAGAAGAGTGAAAAGGGAAGTCCATGTCCTGATCACATCTACCTGAAAGCAATCAGAAAGCATAAAAAATACCAAAACACATACTCAATTAACTATTAAGGCCACAGATAAACACTAAATATGTCCAAGAAGCAAAAGCAGATGACCATATCAGCACATGTCCAGAAACAAGATAAAATGCCTGAGACAAATTACCTAGAGGTAGACATGGACTCCATTCTAGAAGGAGGGAAGGCCTTGGAAATGCCTGAGAAGGAATTCAGAAATATGATTATAAAATGTTTTCAAAACACTTTACAATGGAGTTGAGAAAAATAAGGAAGAAGCCAGGAAAGCACTACAGGAACAATCAAATAAGATAGATACAGCATTGGAAACAATTCAAAACCTACAGAAAGAGGTCCAAATGATCAATAATAGAGTATCAGAAAT